CTCTGAACAGAAATTTTATATTTTTGATCAACTTGAAAATTAAATTGATTGTAATTATTTTAATTTTAATACATTTTTGTGTTTCTTATATTGATTTTTTCGGTTATGTATGAGTAAGTAACCATTTTCAACGGAAAAACAAACAATAAAAACGAGACAATTATTAGGTAAGATTGGATGTTACTCTGATTGGTTTCCATGTCAATCCTTCTTAGGATAGAGGATCTCAGATGACATTTACCTGGCAATTATGAGAGTGAGTAAAGGTTCAAACGATACCAATTCGCATTGATGAATAGCCTAAGTGTTTATTAAATTTCATAATAAATAAATGATTAAGAATCTTAATATTAATGAATTATTTTTCTTAATTATCTCTTTTTAATTATAATATTTGTGCAATAGTTCATTATATTAAAGTTTCTTCTTACAATATCTGCTCACTCAGAAAGCAAACATGGATTGTTTATTTTGTAAATGTTGTGAATGCTGCAGGCATTCTGACGACAGTAATGACATTGTACGGCATCCTTAACTCAACTCTAGAGACTGTAAATCTTACTTGCTTTACTGAAATTTAAAATGAAAAACATTTTTATGAGCTTCTTACTACAATACAAGAATTTGCACTGATATTTAAAAAAAAAATTGCATTAAGATAAAACCAAAGACAATTTTTACTCTTTATCCCCTTTTATAAGAAGTAACTTAAATATATACATTCATATTTTGTTCCCTTTTCGATGTAGTGTTGTTTATAGTAAATCATATATCTGATATGTAAGATAGTGTAATTCGGTAGAAGGATGTTATATAAAAATATATAGGCAAGAAGTCAATAATTTCGTGTTATATGTTGCTAGAAAGACATGATATTTACATTATTATTATGGGAATTTATGTTTAAAAGCGTGTATTACGAGGTCATTACTTATAAATGAAATAGAAATGATAGAGTTGTGTAACAAAATGAAAGACAACAATTTATGTAAATGGCAGAATTATTTTTATATTATTTAAAGCTTCAAATTATCCTTTATGTCTAGCTCAATCTTATATAAAACAAAATAATGTATTAATTACCAAAGTATTTTCTTCAATAAATAGTTTTAAAATATAAAAATTTAAAACTTTTATAATAAAAGTTATGTCACTTCTATCTTATACTAAATCATTTAAATGACTTTATATACAGTAAAACCTGTCAAAAAAGGAACCTGCCTAAACGTAAAACATTTTCTGTTAAAAAAACCTGTTCAAAACGGAAACTTGTAAAACTGAAAAAAAAAATATTTGGAACTGTGCGATTTCTGTTTACACAGGTTTTACTATATTTTAAATAGAATAATAATAAAATTTGTAATTAAAACAATTATTTATTACATAATTTTATAGCAATGAAATTTTTTTATGGTAATATAATATTTATTTCTAAAAATAAAAATTTTGTTTTCATGAATTTTGTTTTATAATGAACTAAGAATTAATCCTACTTTCTCGTTATTAAAGTATAATTTGCATATTAGTACAGTCGACCCCCTATAACAGTGTTGATAATTCCGTTTTATAAGAATTCCATGTTGTACGACTCGTACAACATGGAATTCTTATAAAACGGAATTATCAAGTGTTATAGGGGGTCGACTGTATATTAACTTATTTGTTTACATTTTTTATTATTGCCTTTTCAGTATAATCCTTATATATAAACATCTTTCCAGAGAGTATTTAAATTTTATTTATTTAGGCCAATATATATCAAAATTGAAATGTAATTTATCTTTTAGATACTTTTCAAAATTCATCAATAAACTAATAAATATAATATTACCTAAAATAATAAACGATCAATTAAAAATAATTACTCATAAACAGGAAATTTGTATATAGTTAATCGGGTCTTCTAACCCCTATTTTTGTCTCGCTTTTTCGCTTTTCACTTATCTCACTCCATTCTCGAAATTAACAAAAAACAGACGGATGGAAAGACTAAATTGGGAATGTATAGGCCTGCAATTTGAAAACTACAGCCAAAAATATTCTAAAAAATTGCTTTTTTTATTTAACCAAAATGCAACTATTAAGAGAACAATTTCCATACAATAATGTTCTGTGTGTATACGGAGAGTGTTTTTACAGAGAAAACAATTTTAATTGTTAAGTTATAATATAATATTTCATATTTAATTCATTAAATTCTTGGCAATTTATTGCTATATAAAGATTTCTTATCAGAAATATTGACATGGCAAGAACATTACAAAATGCGAAATATGATCTACTGTACAGAAGCAATATAAAGAGAAAAATTTTCGAATTAAGAAAGATTAGTCTGTAATTTTATATGCTAATTATTATCGCCACAATTTAAATTTATTATAATATGAAATCAATATCCAACTTCCTGATATAATTATGCTAATAAATGTCAACTTATCAGAGTTAATTATTACTTGATCCACTACCTAAGATAAATTTCAATATAAAATATCTAATAGAATTTATTAAATATATTTGCACTTTATAACATTAAATATAATCGTTAACACATACTATTTAAATTCAAAAGTTCGAAAAGAAAATAAAGGTGTAAAAAAATTAATAAAAATTAAACTTGTAAATTTTTTATTTTTATAAAGATATATTGTTAATATAAACAGTGGAAAGTTTGTTTAATATGGCAACTGTATATTCATTTTAAGAAAGAATTCAAATAATGGCTGTAATCATAGACAATTTCAAGAATGTTTCTGTTTCAATAAACAAATCGTTAAATAAAACAACCTGTAACATCTCTTAGCAAAAATAAGATTTTATTTTTTAACCTGAGGGCTTCAAATTCAATGAAGAAATCTCCCAGGCACGATATATCTCAAGCAAGAAAAGATGTATTTTTTTTCTCTTTGTTTTTTTACTTTTTAAATCTGTCATATAGAAGAACATATTCTTTGTTAATCTCGATATCTTTATTGTTTTCTTACTGTGGCTATAAGAAATGCTAATATTAAAATCAATGCAGTAAGGAGAAGCAGCCGGTTTAGATAGCAAAACAGAGCAATCAATACTACAATTGTTACAGAAAGATTGGATAGAAACACTGATTACTTTGTTTTCAATAGTTTAAACAATTAATATGTAAACAATAAAATATTTATATCTATGCAAGAATATCTCTTTCACTAATTAAATGTTAAATTATAATTAATTTAATTTTCTATAATATCCAGGAAGGGACATTATAATTCTTTTAGATTTTCAGTAAATTTAACAATTTTAATAATGTTAATAGCCAAGTTTCAGTAGTATTTTTAATAGTGTAGAATAATAATCTTCTAAATTGGAAGAAAAATGTAGTTAAGTGTGTATAAAATATCAAAAAGCACACGAAATATGCTTTTTTATATTTTTAAATAGTTTTTTTTCAATTATATTATGTTGCATTTTTAATAGGATTAATATTAAATTTAACTTCCTAAACAATGGATAAACAAAGGGTAATATATTGATTTTTTAAAAAATTACTTTATTACAATAAATTTTAATTAGTAAAGATCTGTATATTTTACAAAAATAATTAAAATTTAATTATTTTGAAGTTTTTATAACACTCCTAAACAAATACCTTTTTTATTAAAAAAAAGAATTTAAAAGTTTTACAAATTTAAAATTGAATTTTTTTTGTTGTAATCTAAACAAAAAAATATAAAAAAATGTAATATTTTATTTATATAAATCGTCTATTATGAAAAGAAATATTTCTTTCTTATATAAAAACGACTGTATGATTTCTAAACATTCAAAAACCATCCAGCATCCAGACTGAAAGGTTATCTAAAATCCTTATTACGACTTAGTAAAAGTTATCTATGAGTAAAAGTTATATGGAATATAATATAATAACAAATTTAACATTTTTCTTGTCATATTTTTTTGAGGAACAACTTTTTTTTTTTTTTTGGTCATTGATTTTCCACTAAATCCAACTGAAGATATGGTACAGTATATATTGCTTGCTACATCATTGAATACGAGTCGTTGAAAGAAGTTTCTTATTATTGATCCTATTGAAGACGTTAAAGTGTTTGTGCTCTTCTGGAATTGCGATTTACGGAAAATACATTGGTTTCCCATCAAGCTGGACAGTTACAAAACGGTATGAAATTTTCAATATATATTTTTTATTTCCTTTTTTTCCTCCTCTTCTTTCTTTTACCGCAATCACAAATAATGAAATTCCATAAATTCAATTAAAACGTGCCTGATTCAATTAAAATTTCAAAATCAAATAGTATAATTCAATTAAAGGACTTTTTTAAATTGATTAAATAAGTAGGACAGAGTGACTAAAAAATATTTTATTGAGGAAATTTCATTGATATTATTGATCATCTATTATTGATGCTTGATTTAGAAGTCAATACAGGAAAAATACGCATGTCGAGTGACATTAGTTATTTTAAGGTTATAAATTTTTTTTGGTATAAATTAACCTAAGAAAGTTAATTGACAATGGAAGATATTCTCGAAATAATAGGCTATATTTTCAAATTTTTACATATTAAACGTGGTTAATATGAAGTAGATTTCATGACTGTTTGATTGATTTAATTTCATTTCGATGGATTTCTCGTCAAAGCAGTTCGGAATAATAATTAGTTTACTGAGTGAATTAGTTTAATTTACAATTAACAAACAATATTAACATGCTAAATAATATTATGCAAGTGTTTTGATAAGCGAGAGATCAATGTTAATTTATTCATCCCTTTACAATAATTCTATTTAATGTGATAAGAAAGCAATAATCTTCATCCTGTTTACTATGAATATTTAAAATATAATATATTGGAAATTATACAATGTGTTTATATAACTGTAAAATGTGTAGTATTATTGACGTGGATACGAAGGTAAATATGTCGAAGGTTCGAATTGGTGAACTCGAATTATGTCTATTCTTTAAAAATAAATATTTGAATAGAAAAAACTGTGAAACTTACCAGTATAATAGTGAAAAAGAAGCTCTTTACGCCAATCGAGACACACACAAGACACTATGTATGTTCGCAGCAGGTGGCAATGAGCAATCGATCGCTGTGATGTGCAATGTTGAGACTCAACTGACACGCTGGCGCCATCACTTTACCAACTGTTTCTCTTTGCTGCCCCCATGACTAGGTGTCGCCTTTTTCAACTTTGCTTTCACGTGATGCTATCAAAATGTATCATTGGCAGATACTCTAATGACGTCACGGATGCTATCTTTATGACGATGTGGGCGAAAATACTACTCCGAATTGTTGCAATGTTGTCAAAAATATGTACTCTTTATATTCAGAATTTCCGTATTGGTTATATTCATTTATCTCTGTATAAAATGAGTATGTTGCTATTATTAATATTATTGTTATTTTTTATTAACATAATATAGTGTTTTTTTCTATTCTATTATTATTCATAATTATAGAGTATTTGGATTAAATATTTACCCGATAATCTGTGCAGATTAATTATTTAAAAATAGGAAAAAAGTGCGTGATGTAAACACTTGAAAATAAACGTAAAAGAAAAAGTCATTTTGAGCTACAGGTCGTATTAGTTTCTTCAATCCACTATTGGTTAATGATAGTTATTTCTACACCAGTGAACTCGATATGTGTTGGCTTCTTGCCACAACACTATCGCCATGTTAACATATATGATCTAGACAGAAGAAAATGAGGAACAAGTTAAGATTGCAAATAAGTGAATATAAAACAGAAAATAAGAAAGTTATATTTTCAAAATACACTGATAAATATATATTCTTTTCGTATTTGGCACTTAATTTTATTATTGAAAAAACTATTAAAGCCATTATTAAAAATAATTATTAAATTGTTCTGTTAAAGTAAATCTGAATTAGAACCGAAGATAAATAATCTTTCTTCACAAGATAAACCTCAACAGTCTTTCAACACTAAAATTAAGAGAACAGTAATGCTGCAACCTATCATCAAAGTTGCTTAAAAACAAACAAACGCCACCTGGTCCTGAAATATGTGAAGAATGACTGGTATTTTTGAACATGCGCAGATTTACAGGATAGTTTCTGATTTATCAAGAAAACATTATTATTTTTTTGTATTGTAAAAATAATTTTATCGATATTTTTCTGCTAGTACGAAAGAACAAAAGTTCTAATTAAAACAGGTAAATTATAAGGAAGAACGTTAGTTGGATATCTGTATCTGTACGTTAAAATACGTTCTCTAATCCACTGATAACGACTTTATCTGTTGTAATCTTCTTAATCCAGAAGGTTTTTTTCATCAAAAGGAAGAATACGATTCACTTACACAGGTATATCTTTGTTGTCATTAGTTATTTTGCTCTATAATTGGATTTTTTAACAGGATTTCCAGAAGCTGGATTTCGCTTTTCTTTTTATTGTTTCAAATATTCCATGTAAAATATAATATTTATGGCTTTACATTAACTGTATAACAGTTTAAAAGAAACCTTTAATTACCTATAAATTTAAATTAACTGAATTTAAATAATTTAGATTAAATCAAAAATTCAAGTAATTTTTAGGCTGTTTCATACTGCTATAAAAATGAAATTTATTCGAATTTTGCCATAGTAATTAATTTATTTTAAGAAATTATCATTTCAAACATAAAAAAGTTTCCCTCTTCTTACGTTACAAATAATTGTTCAGATAAACTGCGTGTATATTGATTCTAAATGTGTAATAAATAAAAATGCAGCAGAGCTAACAGAAGTGCTGCAACTTACCTCTAAAGTAAAATACAGCTGCTATAACACCTGTCAGCTGTTAGCGACCGTAAAAAAGGCTAATTGACCTATACATTGCGATAATTACTGTTAAGGAGCGGAGAAAATAACAGTGCATTTCAGCAGCTGAATAAAATTTTCTAGTTTAGAATTAACGTGTTCGGCATTTTTAAATACATATTAATTAGCAGCATTTAATTTTAAGCATAATTGTCTCTATGGGATAGGCTCGTGTTTTAATTATACACTAAAATTTTTTAAAAAATACTTATATAATATACGACGTGAACGGCAATTTATCGAGTTCAAATTATCGTAAAAAAAGCAAACATTTCGAGTTTATAAAACAAATAAAAAAATGCCTCTCAAATTAATATTTAAGTTTTTAAAAATTAAAAATATACGTTAATTAATTGCAAATATTATTTTATATTTTTTTCTGTAGTCGTTTCCTCGAAGATAAAATGTAAATATATTTTTATCTTCGGGGAAAAGTTAAATTTATACAGAATAAATATAAATTCTGTGAAAAATATTATTAAAAAACGAAATTTAAATTAAACAGTTTTGTACAAAATTCTGTACCTAACTGTTTTAATTTAACAGGAGTTTAGAGCCCATAGAGTTTAAAATCCATTTAAGAAGAGTTTAGAGCCTGTATGGGCTCTAAACTCTTCTTAAATTAAAAGAAANTTATTCTTGCACTTCATGCTTCTTTACGATAATTCAAATAGATTTAGCAAAGGTATCACATATATACATTTCACTCTGTATAATATACAAGGGGGTGCAAGAGTAGGTATACATTTGTGAATCTAGAAATACAGAGGTATAGTGTTTGCTATTGTTATCGTGTATTACTTATTTGCGATTTAATTTATGCATAAAATAATTTTTTCCATTTTTTCCGTAGTAACAACTGCATACCCACTTCTGTACTTGTATATAAATGGAATACATGTAGAATTTTATACGATGTCATCATAACGTAATATTATTTTTGAAATAAATAATTGAAGAAATACGATTGTAAAATAAGTAAAAATTAAATTATAAAATAAACTGTACGGAGAATTTAATTCATTAAATGATGTGTTCCTATTAAAAAAACAATAAATATAACAAATGCTATACATTTTAATTATAAGATCTACCGTTTATATTTAACAGTTAATTAATTTTTAAATTATTTACCAAATTGCGTATTGTTTATATTCTGTATTTAATTACTAAATTATTAAATGTAAAGTATAAAAGATGAAAACGAAATTTAAATTAAACAGTTTTGTACAAAATTCTGTACCTAACTGTTTTAATTTAACAGGAGTTTAGAGCCCATAGAGTTTAAAATCCATTTAAGAAGAGTTTAGAGCCTGTATGGGCTCTAAACTCTTCTTAAATTAAAAGAAAAAAGTATTTAAAACATGAAATTACTAGAACAATGTAAAGTTTTACAACGTTTTTGCATAATTATCTAAATTCATTGCCTGGACTATTTATCAAGTCTTTATCCTAGCTAATTTAAAATATTTCCTGTCTAAAACCTTTTTATGGCAGTGATATCAGTATTATGCTGATCACTTTTATTCTTATATCGCATAATAATCTTCAATGCATTATCCAGATTGTAAGTGTATAGTTAAAGAGATTATAGAAGAATTTATCTAAAATTGATAAGATTGAAATTTTTCAAAATTTTATCTTCCCTGAGATTATTTGGAAGTTAGAACATAATCAATAATATTCTTATTAGTGTAAAGTATCGGTAAGTGAGATATTTTAAACAATTACCAACCTAAAAGATTTAAAAATATCTTTTACTAGAAATGCATTTAGAAGTATGTATAACCTTCGATTTTCCCCCTTCCTTCTTTTACCATTAAAATTCTAAATTATCAAATGATATAAAGACTCTTTCTGGTAAAAATGCTTGTAATCTAAGATCATGAATGCGAATTAAGTGTTTGATATCATTTAATGTAAGAAGCCTTTGTAGCATTTTAATGGTTTTCTAATGTCTTTTCGATGGTGCGTTACAGATGTCGCTTGGACTGCATGTCAGCTGTGCTCACTTGTCCAACTGATTCATAAATGGCAAGACTTTCGTGCCTTACCCTTCCTTGCCCTCCTTTCTATTGCTATAGATCTCTATAAAATAGTTTTACGATGATTTCGAATTGGAACCTGATAAAACAATTTTGAAACCTTCGAGAGCTTCATTTCCTTGTCAAGTGATTTCTACACAAATCAAAAGGAAATTTTGTGAAGAAAGTAGACAAGGATATCGTGTTTTGAAAAGAAATTTATCATTTCTCATTTATTGAAGGAATTTATTCACATTTTATTTTAGAATTGTTTGATTTTTTTGAGAGAGAAAAGTTGGTCCAACGTGAATTGTCTTAGAAACTATATTAAGATTTCTTTCTAAGAAGTAATCTAATAAAAAGTTACACCGTTGTTTGAGTTGTATAAATTTTTTATTTCGTTTTTATTTTCAAATATTTATAAGATGACTTCATAAGTAAACAATCAACCAAATATTACGGACATATTCGGTTTAAAAACCTCAAAAATAAACTATAATAATTTTAAAAAATTATAAATTATTATTATAAATGACTTAATTTGAGTGAAAATAGAACAATTAATATATATTATTTTAAAATAATAAATTATTGAATTATACGTATTGTAAATATAGCATTCATGCAATGTTAAACTCTTATGTAATTCTCTAACTTTATTAGTGTTACCATATTATATAATTTAAAATTTATTACTTTAAATGAAATCTCATGTTGTATTTTTTCAAGAAAATAAATAATTTTTTTTTTATACACTTTAATTGCGAATTAAAAACGTGTTGTATAATGAAAGTATCCTTTAAATATAAACTAATAAAAATAAGACTAAGTATTTAGTTTTCTTTTTTCAAAGTAGGTTATATAATTAAAGATTTATTCTATTTACTAATGATAAATATTTTAAATGATAAACTTCTTATAAAACAAAATAATCTTTATTTTCAATGAATAAATAAAATATTTTCAAGTAATAATATATAATATTCTAAATTTTCAATTGGAAAGTTCAATAGACATTTAAACCTTTCTTATATGAATTCTAATATATCAGTGTGGGGTAATTAATAAGATATTTAGTTTTGTTGTACCGGATGCAAAAGTTCGTGATTCGAGTCAAGTAATTCTTTACACTTTTAATTAAAATTTCATCAAGTTTTATTCACTTTTAATTTTTTAATTACCAAATTTTATTACTTAAAATCAATTAATCATATTAATTACTTTCTAAGATTGCATAGTTTTTGCATGCCACAAGAACTAAGTTTGC